GCTGCGGGGCGTGGGGTCGGCGGGAACAGTGCCCGTCTCCGGCTGGGAGGTGCTGGAGGAGCCGGGCCCGATGCGGGAGGATGGAGGATGGAGGGGGCGGGGGGGGCCAGCCCCGATCGCTCGGTGCCCGGTGAGTTTCGGGTTTGAAAAGGGGGGAACGTTTTTCTTTTGTCTCTGGGAAGCTGGGCCGCTTCCTGGGCTCCCTCTCCTCCCCGGCGTTTGGCTCTTTAACGAGCCAGATATCGATATTAATTACATACTGCAGGATTTGATGGGGTTTTGTGGGTTTTTTTTTGTCTGTGGTGAGATGTGCTTCTGGAGGAAGGGACAGCTGGGGCGTGAGGATGCAGGGGGGATGGAGCTGGTCTCTGGCCCTTGCGTCTCCCAGTACAAACCAGTAAATGGTCTGTCCGGGGAAGCATGCAGGGGTGGAGGCAGAGGCAGGGGTTGTTATCTGCGGGGTATCAGCAGGCTGCAGCAGCATTTGGGGAGCGCAGGGAGACAAAGCACTGTGTCAGCACCGACTCTTATTTGCTGCTCTGTTGAGCGTCAGTCTCGTTAGGCCTGCAAACCTCCTCTCAGGAGCTCATCCTGCCGGAATGGATGTCAAATCTCCAGGCTTTTTCTCGTGAGGGTGACTTGCAATTTGAAAAGAATGGGTCTGTGTGTGGGCAGAGAGATATTTGGGGTGCCTTGGCCAGCCTCCTTGGCTGTAGCCTCTGCTCTGCTGCCTGCCAGGCAGCATCCCTCCAGGAGAGCCCCTTCAATCAGCGCTGCTCGGTCCTGCCCCATCATCGCTGGGGAGGTGATGCTTTAAACACGTTGCAGCTGCCCATTCTTAAACCCGGGTGTAGGATTTGGCATTTTAAGAAATTCCCTGCCTGCTGTTAGAGCCTGCCAGGGCTGGGAAGGAGAGAGTCTGCACCAAGCAGCTGTGTTCTCAGGAGAAGGTGTCCCTGTGCCTGCCAGGAATCACTGTGAGCCCAGGACTTCAAAGGCTCAGCTCCCAGACAGACCACAAGTTAAAACGTTAGCACCAGCCATTACAGGCACATCAGAGAGAAGCTGGGCTGGAATCATCTCAGGAGCCACTCGTGTGTGGGGCCTGCCTTCAATTAGGGGAAAACCTCTGTGTTTTTAGGAGATGCTCTTGGGATAAGTATGGACTGGATTATCTGCTGAGGCCAAGGGCTGGTATGTGCTCCTCTTCTGCTTTGGCTTCCTGCCGCCTCGAGCCTTGGAGGCTGCTATGATTTGCTCCAGCAAGTAGCAGTTCCTGGTGTCTTCCCTCTTTCTCCTCACTTGCGCTTTTGCTCTGGCAGAAGAAAAGATGAAGAGCCCAAAGGGGGATTTTCCCAGTATGGAGGGATGTGGCTATGTAAGGGTACGCACACCAATTCCTCTTCCCTTGCCTTACTGGGTGTTTAAAATGGGTAACATCACAGATTCCACCTCCAGATTGAGGTTGCTGGTTCTATTTATCCAAATTCCTGCTGTATCCATGAAAATGAGGGAAATTGATAAATTTAGGGTGTGATAATTCTGGTGAGGACAAAAAACAATACTCAAAGTGAGTTCCATCCCCCAGATACATAGTGTTGGTACCACTTTGCAGCGTGTATGTGGTGCACGACAAGGTTTATATGCTTTTAAAGCTCTGGGGAAAGCCCAGGTACAGGTAGCTAGCCCTGAACGTGACTTGTTGCTGACCTGCATTAGACACTGGTATACACTTATTTATAGATAGATTTCCGTAGGTATTTATAGAGAGATCTATTTTTTTTCATAAATACCACTTACAAATACTTTGCGACCCGTTTCCCCCCTCCATCTCTCAAGGGGTTTGAACACAAGAACAAGGGAGGAAGTTGCTGACATGGGGCAAGAAAGCTTGTTTTCTGCTGTTCTTTTGCCGGGTTAACTGACAATCTCTGGCTGTTGTTCTTGTATCACTGTCCTTGTGATATTTACAGTAGAATTTCAGGCCTTGTTTGCCTGGGAGAGCACCTTGGCTGATAGTGCTGGTGATGTCAGATCCCAGCAAGACTGGGGCTTTGTTTCACTGGTCAGTTTTCTAAAACAACCAAATGAGGTAAGTTGCTGAATAAAGACAACAAACTGGCCAAGGTCACTGCAGAAATCCAGGTTAGAGAAAGGAATTGGCCTTGGCCTTACCGAGTCCTACTCTAACCCTGCTTTCTCTGTGTGGCTGTCACAGCTCTCCTCTCTGTGCCTGATGCTGACACACAAACACAGAAGCCTGTCAGGGCATCGATGCACAAAGTCTTCTTCTGCAGTACCACCACGCTCCCGGAGCGTTTCCCCCTGCTCTGCTGAGAGGACCCTGTGTTTGTCTTTTGTACTTCACTGAGCTAAAGGGGACAAAGCAAATCCGTTTTTCTCATAGTTGGGTTTAATTGCTTGCTCTTACGTGATTGTGCAGTAGCTCTTGCTGTAGCTACCAGTGGAAAAATGACTTCATTGCATGTGACTCTGAGTCTGGCACCTTCAACTGATACTTACAGTTACTCCTGAAAAAAACCCCAACCAAAGAAACCCTAATAAAAAAAAAAGAATTCTCAAACCCACAGTATTTCTGTATCAGACTTTTTGGAAATCATTCCCGTGCAGTGGCACTGGTTTTGTTATCTCCTTCTAAAAGAGTGCAAGGGTGTCTATAAAATAGCTGTGGTTGTTTCAGATGCAGCATAAGCAGAGAAATGTGTGAAGAAATAAAGCCAAGCGTTGTCATACTTGGTTGACAAAATTTACATATTTTTTTTTTTCACTACGATGGAATAAAATATGATGTGGACTTGAATTGGCACTGGAATTAGATGGCACTTTTGGTGATTTATTTTCATTCTGCTAGGTGTAGAGAAATGTGGCAGGCACTAGCCAAATGCCCAGCTGTGCATCCCGGGCCAGCAACAGAGTCCCCATCTCTGTCTGTGCTGAAGCACAAGAGTTTCTTTGGTTTATTTTGAGACTTAATGTTCCAATCTCTGATGTTGACTCCCTTGATAAGTCCGTTGGTGCCTGGGAAAGCCAAATGATTATTTTTGAAAAGTATTTACACTCCGTGTCTATAAAGTAAACACTTCAGAAAGACTTCTCAAGCCCTTTGATGTGCTGGATATTCAGAGAGCTGGTGATGCCTAATAGAGTCAGGCAACTCTTCAGCTCTGACACTGTTTTGTGAGTAATCTTAGGAAAAATCTTTTCCTTCTCTGTATGTGTTTCTCCCAGGTACGAAATGGGTGTTGCAGCTCTGACCTCCTTTGAGGTCTGTGAATGAAATACTCTGTGGATGTCAGGTATTTGGATCTTGGAACTCTTTAATCACTTTTTGGTGCTTTTTAGTCTTTCTCCTGTGCTGCCTCACACCATTTCATCTAAAAAGATAACGCAAAGAAACAGAGCTCTTGGTCAAAATTAATCCTGTTTTATTTTGGTGGATAACTCGTATTGTGTAGCAAAGGCTACGTGGGTATTGGTTACACTGAAAGGGCTTCACAAAAATTTGAGGTGGCAGAAACTTGAAGAGGTCTGATCCATCAGGCTGTTCCAGGCTAGGTTTGTCTTCATCTCTGTCATCCAAGGCAGAGGTTTGAAGATTTATTTATTTTTTAAAGAGTGGCATGGACATTGAGGGAGTCTCTCCAACCACTCTGGACAGTTTGGACTGATGTTGTAGTTAGGACTGTGTAGTGTGTGTCTTCCCCTTTGTTCTGTTTGTTGTCGTTGTCACTTTGTGTGTCTGCCTGCCATTGTACAAACGTGTTTCCATTGACAAAACCAGCCCAATTCCGTTTGCAGCATGAGCTTCTCTTGCAGCAAACCCTCCGGAGGGGCAGAGGAAGCTTCCAAACCAAGGCACCAACTTCTGGCGTAGTCACCGACAAAAGCTTTCCCTGGCTGCTCTGTCCTTTTTCTTCCTTTGACATATTCCTCCCCCCTTTATCTGTTGCATCATGCTCTGAAAACTTCTGTGTCGGCCAATTAGTGCTGGAAGCTTTTCAGGAATCCCGACGGGTGCATGAAGCAGCCGCCTGTTGAAACAAACAGCACTTTCCCATCCCCTGCGAATACTCCCGGTCGTGACCTGCAAGGGCATCCCCTGGCTGGGGAACAAACCTCCCTAGAAAAAGAGGCCTCTCCTGGAAGATGTGGAGAGGCACAGGTCTTAGGAGGAGAGGCTGAGGGAGCTGGGGGTGTTCAGCCTGGAGAAGAGGAGGCTGAAGGGAGACCTTATTGCTCTCTACAACTCCCTGAAAGGAGGGTGTAGCCAGGGGTGGTCGGTCTCTTCTTCCAAGTCACAGGTGACAGGACGAGAGGAAATGGCCTCAAGTTACTCCAGGGGAGGTTCAGGCTGGATATTAGGAAAAATTTTTTCACTGAAAGGGTTCTCAGCCATTGGAATGGGCTGCCCAGGGAGGTGGTTGAGGCACCATCCCTGGAGGTGTTCAAAAGACGGGTTGATGTGGTGCTGGGAGGTCTGGTTTAGTGATGGTGTTGCTTCTTGTTTGTTGTGTGGGTGTCTATTTTTGTCAGTTAGGTTGACGGTTGGACAAGATGATCTTTAAGGTCCCTTCCAACCTAGAAGATTCTGTGATTCTGTGATTTATGTCACGAGATGTGTTTAATGGCCTTTTTAGCCTCGTATTCCACTGTCATATATTGTGTGCCACACTACCTCACTGGCTCCTGTCAGCCCTCCACGTGAAACCCATCCTGGTGATTAAAATCTCCTCCTCTGCTATATTTAGCTTATATCTATTTGTTTTATAACTGAGATCC